GTGTGTCACTGGGGGCTAATAAATTTTGGCTATGTCTACTCAGAATTTTTTACGCGTGCGCGTTACAGCACGTGCTTAGATTTCCTCTTGTTTCTTCACGTTTCTTCTGATTTTTATTTGTTCAATTTTCACACCACTGTTCCAGTTTTTCTTTTTGGCTTGTTATTTTCGCACATTTTTGTGGTGGTTTGGAAATAAATAACAGGGACATGAGTACATGTAGGTGGTGATATTGGCTGAAACCAAGGGATTTATGCACTATTGGGCTTATTTCTAGCAGCTTGAACTGTTCTCTTGGAGTATGCTCCTTTCTATCGTGAGCCTTCTGGATAAGGAAGATGTGACAGGGGTATTACAAGCGGTTATATTGATGTTAGTGTGTTCTAACAGGAGTACTTCGGTTGGTGAAAAGTCCCTCACAAAGTCCACACGGAATGGAAAGTATTCTCGCAACACTTGGAGAGATTTCTTAAGCAGAATAAGGTGTCCATTCGGATGTGTGTGTGCAAACCGTGAACGCGGGTGATGTAGAAACTCTATGATATTGTGAGTGTGTACGAGAGGTTTCATTCTCCGGTATACTAATTCTCACTGATCCATGGGCATTTGGATGAATTTGAGTGGTTTATTTGTCCAACCTGTCACACTTCTGGCGATCGCATGCTGCACCAAATTTTGATGAAGCCACATATTTTAAAAACAACGGGCAGCTATTTTTATAATGGAAGCTGAGAACGGCTCAAGTCGGTGGAACGTGGCTGGGAAGCCTTTGACCGCAAGAAGGCCCATATATCTCGTGCTGAACGAAGCCCACCGCACGCTCCTTGCCAACAATTTAACGTTTCATCCAGAGATGACATCGCTGTTGATTCACAGGTTTTTGCTGTCGGCAGCCGAAATATTTTCTGAAGTTCGACAGAGTTAATGATAATGGTTTATACGGAAGGTCTATGTATTTACTCACTAGAGATATTCTGCTCGACTACCCGGAATTGTCAACGGCTTCAAGTGAAACGTCTACATAGGCCATCAGGAGAAGGAGGATAGGTTTATTAGTCCGCTTTCACTAACTTTTAGTAATATAGGGCAAGCTAGTTGCTTTTGTCCTCCTCCGTCCGGTATTCAAGGAAGCCTTTCGGGTTGTTTCAAACTTAGAACTTGCCTATCTTTTTAATGTACTACTCATAAGGTTGCTGAAAATCCATCAACAGCCCACGACCGGTTTCGCCCTTCTTGGGGCTTATCAGGCAGGCGCAGTCCCCGGGTTTCCGTCAACCTTATGTTCTACTTGAAACCAAATTCCACGAAATTAGCGAATATACATTCATTTGCAAACTAATTTGGTTCTTTCGAGAGACTCATCTGGAACCCAACTGAATCTCTCGTTTATGATGTTCTCAGGCAACTGAATGTGCTGCACCAGGCCGCCTCATGTTTCAGTCGTTACGATATTTCAAATATCGCGATACATGTATACCTTTGTAATGTACTACTCATGAGGTTGCCTGAGAACATCATAAAGGAGAGATTCAGCTGTGTTCCATATGAGTCTATCGAAAGAACCATATTAGTTTGCAATTGAGTGTATATTCGCTAGAACTTGCCTACTTTAGACCCTATTTTCCCAGGTAAACCTCAGTGGCGGGTTTATTGGTTTCTACTCTGAGAGTAGCGGAAGGAATCCAGCGTTTTTCGTTTTCCGGCAGACAGTTCTTCAAGACCAGGCTTCAGTGGACCTTCCGTCACGGGTGATTTTGCCTGAGGGGAAAGTGTATAATTATCTACGATTACAATAGAGATCTTCGAGTGGAGCGTAGTAAAAAGATGCAAGCAGTTGACGTTTTACTGGAGGAAAGGACAGGATAGTCAAATTTCTGCATGACAGGGCAAGAAATCAGTTGACGGAAAGTAGATGTAACACACATTAGCACGTGACCTCTCAGAACTAGCATTGCCAGGATTTACAGATCAAAGGATCGAGCATTAGTACGCAATCTATGTAATTGATTGGTATTCTTATGGCTTTAGCAGTTGTGTGATCCAGGCTTCCTTTCATTTCTCTTGAGCTGAAAATGCGGTGAGGGCGATTCGGATTGCGCGTCTTCTTAGGGTGTAGAAGCCAGTGTCGGTATATACGTGAGCCATAGGATTCATGGGGCCTGCGTCTTTAAATATAAGCCCATGAATGTAGCCATACTAAAAGACTAGCGAGTGACCTGGTACTTGTTATCAAATCTGTTAAATTTGTTCAATCGTTGCCTTCGTATTCTGTATCTTTCACGAAGTCAGCCATTTTCTGTGCGTTTTGCGTTCTTCCTTGTGCGCGAGCACCAACTCTCTACCCCTTTGAACTTCTACATCCATTTCCACTCGAACAGCGACACTTGTGGGTCTCTACAGTTTCAGTGTATACCTTGACTATGAGATTCCTGCTACCATTCATCCGTATTGCTGATTCCTCCAATTTATCATCATCACTTAGGCATTTTGTGACCCTGGCCATAGGCTTAACGGTTCATGGCCGACAAGGCCTCCTCGGTGGCTTTAGACTCTAGTTCAAATTGAAAAAGCAGGCCGCGGCAACCTTGCTAGCGCACCAGATTTGTTGTCCTGTTTCCTCTTTTTTCTCAATTTGAAGTTTTCTTATCATGTGTCAGACAACGCGCCTCTTTTTTGTCCCCCCTCCCTCTGTTTTGTCCTCCACCTTCGAATCCTAACCATTTCATCTTGTCTCAGCTTGATATTTTCTCCCAAAAGTAAGATAAACTCCTGGTAATTGTGTTTTCTTGCCAACTCCGGTTTAAGAATGACCAAGTCTGTTGCCCACTGTTCATGACTGTCCTTGTTTCCTCGTGCAATCTCCAATACCCGGTGCCCCCCATGTGTGTTTTCCTCTGAGTGCAATCGAATGATCATGTTTGACGGTATGCCACCCACCAGTTGGGAATGAACGGATTATTGTTTATTTGGTACACTAAATCCTCTCTTCGTACTACTACTGCATTCTGACACTGATACAATGTAGCCTATGGAACCGACAGCTCCGTCGTTTTCATCATAAACTGAACCTTCCCAAGTTCAACCGGATTAGCAGCCTCGCCGATTGAGAAATCTTTACTGGTAAAGCTATTATCAGCTCGCGCACGTGCGTTTCTATTCCCGCTCATTTTGATCTCCAGCATCCTGTTGTAAACAAGAAATTCTTCACATGTGCGTTTCTATTCCCGCTCATTTTGATCTTCAGCATCCTGTTGTAAACAGTTCAGGCACAGACAACATGTTGAAAGCGGCTCGCTAGTTAAGGCTGCTCGGTTGCTCTTCTTCATGTTTGTCATACAGTTTGTTTCTCATCAAGCTCATCAATCATGCCGAAGTGTTGCAATCCATATCCACTTCCACAACCATATCTACAATATCCGAATAGATGACCTAATAAGACAGTCACATCTGATATGATCTATCTGTCTCTTGTTGTGATGATGATCTAAATAGGCCCGAAGTTTTTACCATATCTTGCTGCCCAAGAAAAATACTCTTCAACCCACATCGAAATAAAGTACACCACTACGAGGCCACCTCTTACGCTTTCGTCCTCCAACTTGTTGATGCATCCTGAATTCTCATAATCCATCAGCTCAGTGTGCCTTGGCTGTCCATCCACACTTGACCGGACTTTCCGGTTCCTCTTCAGCCCGAAATATTTACCGGGATCTTTCCGCACCACGTCTGCGCATTCCCCACCTGTTGTTCTTGGTGATGCAAAAGGCTAAACGGTTGACAACCCTCATCCCAACTGCGTGCCCACACAAAGATATTCTCTACCGAATGCTGAGTCCCACAGTTTTCAATAGAGGAAAGATAAATCTTAAATAGAAGGGACTTCTGTTAAGTGCCCGTGACACTGGTTCATACTTGACCTGGTCGCGCCGGGCCGCCTCATGTTTCAGTCGCTATGATATTCGAGATATCACGATGCATGTTCATTCGTAATGCGCTACTCATAAAGTTGCTGGGAGTTCGTCGACAGTGCACGACCGGTTTTGCCCTTATTGGAGCTCATCAGGTGGGCGCAGTCCCCGAGTTTCCGTCAAATTTATGTTCCACTTGAAACCAAATTGCACGAAATTGGCGAAATACATTCATTTGCAAACTATTTTGGTTTCTCCAGAAACGAACTGGAACTCAGCTGAATCTCTCGTTTGTGACCTCAACACTAATCTGACTGACCGAATTGTGTCATGGCTAACAAAGTGAAGCGTTTACGGTGAAAGTTGCTCGGTGTGAGAAAAATCACACCTTGAGCGTGCGTCCCTGTACCATTGCGTTCCATCTACTTGGCTTATGAACACTGAAATGCTCTCAGATTAAAACGTGTTTACCAAACCCGACCTTACATGGGTATCTCAATATGTAACTGTTTAAACCAAAGCTTTTGCAGCACGCGTATAACTAGATTTTGTGGAAGGCCGCAAAAACAATGGGTAGAATTACGAAGGTCCAAGGGGACATCCGTGCTTTCCAAAAATATCCTGTAATTGCATTGGGGCGGGAGGCGTTCATGCTTCCGGGAAACGTAAGCTTCTGTTAAAAGCTTATCTTTCAGTCAACCAAGGAGCTGTCGATAAGAATTCGGCAGAACTTTTGTTCAGCTTCTGTTGTAAAGAGGGTTCCACGAGTGAATTGTGATGCTCGCTTTAAAAAAGAACCTTGTTACTTACTGCATTTCACATCAGGGCCATTGCCAAAGTCTCTTCAGAGTAGCGCGGTTCTGGTGCCGGTTCAACACAGTGAGAAAATAATGTTATTCTCTATGCTACAAATGTCTACAACTACACGCAATGAACTTTGATGTCAATACCAGGTGCGATGCAAAATAACTCAAGGGATGAAGATGAACATTTCTGCAACACTATCAAATATCGGAGTCATGTCATTGAACAATGATGTCCAAATGTTCAGAATCGCAATCCAATGGAAAATGTGTGCGTACTGCGCTGCTCCTAGCGCCTAGACTGCATGTCATTAGTTGAGAGATCCTTGACGACCGACAAGCTAGACTGGCCTGACCTCCTCGATTCCGAATTCCTAGCTGAAGCAATAGCCATGTACGGACGCGACGAACTGCACCGACTGGCACTGAGTGATTCCCAGCCTTCACCAACTTTAGTTTGATTTGAAGAAAGATTGGAGTCGGCCAGTCGTTCTCTTTCGCTCTCCATCAATTTAGTGAGTTCTGTGGAGTCCACCCCTTCCAATTTTCCGTTTAGCCAGTAGGTTTCGATGGTGGTTCCATCCTGAAAGGTTTAGAGAAAAGAAGAGATTTTGGAGCTGAGTACTTCAGTGGTCAAACTGGCGTAAATAAAGCTCATTAAGGAATAAACGAAAAGTTTTCATAGCTTATAGAACTAATGAAATAGATTTATCAACAATTCATTTTTTTGAGCAGGCTTATCACATTCAGAACCGGTGTGGATGTTCGGCTTATGCTTAGAACCAAGCACCAGACAGCTTCAGAAATCTTCAGGCTACTCAGCCATATGATCACGTGAAATTGGGTAGCATTTGGGGACGGGATTTGACCTGACTTGCAGTTGCATACTTTGCCTGATTTCATTACTGAGCCCGTATCCTGATCTGGTCAGTCTCGCCGATAGGTCAAGGTAGGCTACGTACGCATACGCAGTCCGTTACTTTACACATTATTGCACTTGCAAACGAGTGATTGTGTACCGTTTCAGCGGTCGGTTGGCTTTCACAACAGAACTCTATCAAGTTTAACCGCTTTTCAAGGTAGTACGTACCGGCAAGATGTTAAAAAAACTCGAGTATTTTCACAATAATCATCAGGCCTAGCTACGCCCGCGGCTATTTGCCTGCCAATTTCGTTCATTTCACTAGGTCACACAGCGAAGCGAACCGTAGATATGGTCGGTGGCTAAGCGTGGTTAAATTCATGACCACGGCACCCACGAAAGCATGAACAGGTAAAAAACATAATGAAGCCAGTTTAGCGTGACCAAAACAGTCACCTCAAAGTGCATATTGCCCTGTTTTAAAAGGGTGCGGTAAGTGTATCTTTGTAATGTACCACTCATAAGGTTGCTGAAAATCCATCAACAGCCCACGACCAGCTTTGCCCTTCTTGGGGCTCATCAGGTAAGCGCAGTCCCCGGGTTTCCGTCAACCTTATGTTCTACTTGAAACCAAATTCCACGAAATTAGCGAATATACACTCATTTGCAAACTAATTTTGTTCTTTCGAGAGACTCACCTGGACCCCAGCTAAATCTCTCGTTTATGATGTTCTCAGGCAACTGAATGTGCTGCACCAGGCCGCCTCATGTTTCAGTCGTTACGATATTTCAAATATCGCGATATATGTATATCTTTGTAATGTACTACTCATGAGGTTGCTGATGAGTAGTACATTACAAAGATATACATGTATCACGATATTTCAAATATCGTCGCGACGGAAACATGAGGCGGCCTGGTGCAGTAAGTGCTTTATGACGAGGCTTCGTTAATTTTCAAAACTGACACCATTTCAAGTCTTTGTACGAGCAATTGAACAACCAAAGTGCTTTCTTTGGTGGACTCTTAAGGTTATTTAATTGTGATCACTCCTGTCCTGGGTGTATTTGAATTTTCTCGAAATGCACTAGCATAATAATAATTGAACCTGTTGGTCTTCTTTTCGGTGTATTTGTATATGAACTAGCAGTATAGAAGATTTTACGACGCTTTTGATCGATAGGTTTTGCATCCCAAATATAGTGAAAATAATAGAGGTAGGTTTGCCTATTTTCTTTTGCTGCTAGGTTTTTGTAGCTCCACCAGATTAGCGTGAAAACAAGGTAAAGTGCACTCTTTGCATGAATGCCATTACGTGGGGGTCTATCGTGGCCAAAGGGGTTTCATGCATTCTTCAGAAACTCTGTAGTTCTGAGAGGAATATCCAACACACGTGTTAAGAGTGCAGCCACTGTAGATATCCAAGAGTTTTTGTATGCACTCATGATGTCGTACCCATCTCAATGGAGGCTCAAATCTATCTAACGGTTATACGAGAGAAACTAGAAGATTGTTTTTACACAACAAGCAAGTCAGTATCATTGCGATGAGCCGCAAACGGCTCTATCGAAGCTCTGCAAAGATAGAAAAAGTAATTGCGCTCTCATTAAGCAATAGTAACTGTAAACTCATAGTACTCTTATTTTTTGTATCGGTAACTGTCTCACCTGCAGAATGCGCCTCGTGATCTGACAGCTCAATCCATAACTCTTCTTTTTAAACAAACAAGGACGACGGTGGTTGTTGGGGGTCTAACTGAGACAGTAATGCCGTACTCCCTGCGCCCTCGGGCCAGGCTGGCCCCCTACAGCCAAGTAGGTCACACTGTTGAGTCATTGGCTCCGGGCAGGGCCCCCCAAGAAAACCCTAACAACCGCTGTCTTGAAGTCCAGACTTTTGAGTCAGAGGCTAGTTACAGGGTCTCCCTAACAAAACCCTATATTGTCCCACTGCCTTGTGGGTCAGACTTTTGAGTCGAAGGCTTAAGGTGGCGTACCCTGACTAAACCCCCTTCTTAAGCTTCGGCAACCGGGAAGTATCATTTGCCCTTGCAGCTCTTCGCTCACCGGCCTTCCCCCGCATTCCCTCCCAAACCATCTCACAGTGCAGTCAACAAATCTTTCCAATCTGGATTTTCAAGCCTAAGTTTGCACTACATATCTGTAATCTCCCGTGCGTTTTCAGGCTTGTGCAATTGCATGTACTAGGAACGCTTAACCACCTCATCCAGATTTCTCACCCGCAAGGTTTCGCAATCCAAACAAGACTATCTCAATGGGTAAAAATACCGGCGATTTTGCGCATAGAAATTCAAAAACATCGCTCATAACCAGTTATCACGCACAAAAAAGCCGAGGAAATACTTGTGTTGGTCTGTGGCAAGTAAGTCAGAGATTCTTCGAAAACAATCGTCATTGAGCAGTAGCAGGAAAGAAGTAAGTTAACTTCAGCCGAAGTCTGCAAAAGGTAACGAAATATCGCAGCTGAGAACCAAAGATCTATCTGTATGTATGTATGTATGTATGTTTGTATGTATGTATGTATGTATGTATGTTTGTATGTATGTATGTATGTATGTATGTTTGTATGTATGTATGTATGTATGTATGTTTGTATGTATGTATGTATGTATGTATGTTTGTATGTATGTATGTATGTATGTATGTTTGTATGTATGTATGTATGTATGTATGTTTGTATGTATGTATGTATGTATGTATGTTTGTATGTATGTATGTATGTATGTATGTTTGTATGTAGTATGGTATGTATGTATGTATGTATGTATGTATGTATGTATGTATGTATGTATGTATGTATGTATGTATGTATGTATGTATGTATGTATGTATGTATGTATGTATGTATTTATCTGTCTCTCAGTCTGTTTATTCATATATGTTTCTGCGTGTCGGGGAGTACTGTAGTGTTTTTTCGGCCACACAGGGAGGCTGTCGTGTTACTTTCTCGCAGACAGGGAGATAGTTTTCGGCGACGAAAGAGCTTATGGTGCATCTTGGTGATTTTATAATGTATTTGACTGTCAGCCATTTTCATCCTGGCCTATGACACAGACGCCGGCGCTGAGAGGGTGAAACGACGGCCACATGAAATAATCTATAGAACCGTTGTAGGCAGACACCGGATTATTCGAGACATTGAAGCCCTACCCAGACGGAACAGCTTGGTTATCAAATATAATGGCGCCCAAGTGAGCCTGATAGGCCAGGCCTAAAATAACTCCGCATGGAGTTTATTCAGGTGTCCACAATTCAGCTCGATTCAATCCAGCTAGGCTTTTCAGCTACAAAACAAGTGCTGGTGTACAGGGGTTTTAGCTGTGCATCTTTGCTGAGGAGAAGGTAAAAAGAAGGAATAAAAGCCCAGCGCTAGAGGCGATAGCTCAGCGGGTTTATTCACGTTCATTGGCCATGTCTGAATTGACTGCTAGGGGCTTTTATGCTTTGCTCCAAACTCATGGACTGACCGCTTCTTGGTCTTTTTAATCCGAGACATGAGGGGTGGGAGGAATCTGGTGAGGTAAACAGCCCTGTCCTATACAGAGTCCGTGGCTTAACCAAATTAACCTCCTGACTCTGACTAGCTGACCTGTCAAAGGAGGGTCGTCATTCCTAAAACCCGTCAGAAGTATTACTTCTTCGATGTCCCCACCCCCCTGCGCAATTTTTCTGAAGACAAGGAGAGTGTGTTTTTGAAGGTGTTCCGCGTAGAATGGTCATATCTCGGATCCACATGTTAGGGCAGACTGAACCGCAGCGGTGTACACTCTATCACTGACAGGCCTCTTCATTTGCAGGAATGACGTTTAGCTTTCATCCGACGCAGTCTTGCAGTAACGTGTTACAAACCATGACAACCAGACTGATGACTCTGTATGCGTATTCTACTGAAGTACCACGATTGTTGGCGTTCAATAAATTTTGGAGCAAATATATCAGTCTTCATCGTCAAAGCTTAGCAGCTCCGCATACGGAGTGATCAAGTGGTGATTCGTCTGACACAGAGACGAATAATCATATCGACAAGAGGTAAAGACTATCGGGTTGTTGTCTGGAAAACAGGGGGTAACCTGATTGAGTCAATTTATCCTGGCTGCACAATGCGAAAATTTGAGTAAAATGATACTTTTAAGGCCTCTAACTGAGAGCGGGACACCAGTTTACCAGATAAGACTATATAACAAAATTCTGTACACGGAACTTCCTTTCTCTGTTTGTGGTTCATCGACCGCATCAACCATTTTCAAGATCCGGCTTGAAGCTAACTTGAAAAACTAAATTATCACACTGGCATTCGCCTTGCACATTCCGAAGCTGCCAGCGTTTCCATTTTATACGCTAGGTAAGTCCCCTTTCTGTGTCATGTACGACAGTCAGACTATGCCCGCAAAACTCAACATCTAAGGTATGTGACCCTTTGAAACACGGCTCCCTGTCTACTCGAGCAAAATTGCCGTTTTCTAAAGTTGCGTGATATGAGTACCTAGTTCGTTTCGATTGAACTCTGACAACACGTGTGGTTACTTACTTTCGTTTTCACAGATCCTTTGGGCTCTATATCGTACACGTTGTACTCAATTAGTTTATTGCGAGTAGCTTCCGAGATCTGAGCGCGGAGGGGCTTTTGGGGTGAAGGAATTAAAGAGTTTAAATAGCGCGAAAAATAAATGACTGAGTAAATAACTTGACTGAAGTAACTCAAAACTCAGACAGTCATACAATCATATGGTGTTTGCGGTGAGATCTTAGTCTTGTCTTACACACAATCGTGGTCGAAAATGCATTCAGTCCATAGGAAAGATAGTTCAGCGAGTTACACCAAAACAGGAAATATTTAATGCTTGATAGCAATTTACAGATGATTTGTCCCAGGTTTGATGCCTCTGAACGATATAGAAAACCAAACCGGTTAGTTTGAACAAAGCCCGATGTAAACATGAATAGATTTGGTTGGTGGATTCCTAGTTACGCATTGTTTACTCCTCTGAGAGATATATTGGGGGGATTTGAGAGTTTATTCTGGATGAACACGCTTTCAAGTCGAACAATCCTCATAGTAAGTAGTATTGAGTGGCCTCTGTACAGCGCAGATGAAACCTTACTTTTATCCAGGTGAATTTACGCAGCTCCCATGTGACTGGATTGAATTTATTCTGAATTGAGTTTCTCAGACATTCATTGATCTTATTTAGTGGCTTGCACGTCCCTTGTCAGCTGAGTCATTGGGGGATAGTGTTTTTAATCCCCAAACCTGGTTCAAATGATTACCACTACAGGAGATAGCGGGATGTAGTGAGGACTTGAAAACTAATCGATAGTGATGTACTTCCTCGAATTACACCTTATTAGCTTCAATCAGCATTCCAAGTACAACTTTCTTGATGAATAGTGCTGCGTGACAGATTACCGACTAAGCTGGAAGGACTGCATTACTATGACATGTCAGTGCATTAATACTGTTTGTGGAAAAAACAGATAAGCTAATCAACCTAGGTGGGTATTTTCATTGGAACTCTCCCAGTTTTACGTGAGAGATGACAGTCAAGCTATCGCAGGGGTGAAGACACTTCTTTTCTTCAATTTACCCGTTCGGGTTTGAAATGAAAGTAGGTTCTGTGCTCACACCTTGAAGGGAGTGCTTTATGTGGTGGATGTTTCATATTTTCCTTTTGAAAACAAAATAAATCCGGCGTCATAACCACTTCCAAGTTTGGAGAGAACTTCGCTAGTTCACAACCAGTTTTACTCTTCTTCGGCTGATAGACAGATTTCCGTAGTTTTGATTGAATTTGTGTTTCAGTCGAAAACTAGTTCAAAGTGCAGCTAGCCGCATATGACATTGGTGTTATTGAAAGACCCAGCTGAATTTATTATGATGGTCTTTGATTCGTTGTGTTTCATGAAGGCTGTACAATGCTCGAACGATTGGAGACTGCTGAAACATGAGGTCGTGCAACTTCGATCGAAGAATATCGTAAACAGATGATTCAATTGGTCCTCTTGCAAAGACCAGTTTGCTTTGCGAATGCTTTTGTTATGCCAGTCTAGGTCACACGATAAAAAGTAGTCGTATATGAGTGTTAACACCTCTGAAAAAGAGACCATTGAATCCTATTCGATAATATTTGTGGGAAAATTCTATATATATGCACACATTTCTTGAGAGTAAGCAATCAAGTTCCAACACATGTCACAGATAACTAAGCAAAAGATAACTACTCAGTTATCCTCCCCTTTAAGAAATAGCCCCAGATATTACTTCGGGCTTTATGTACTGCATGTATTGTTTAATTACAGAGACGCGAGTGTTCCGTAACATACATAAGAAGAAGCTATCTGGATTCTCCTGAAGACAGTAGCCCTCATAGGAGATCAAAAATTAGGTTATCGCTGAAGAAGAGGACTACAATGGATCTTCAACAAGAGCAGTTTTTAGTAAACAACCGGTGGATTTATTACTGGGCTACGTTCCGCTTTTGACACAAAAGCTTAGATTAGCCGAGATGACACGAGGCGGTTTGAAGTTATCAGCGAAATCGCCTGGGTCTAAAAGTACAAAATCCAAGTAGAGTTAGATCCAATTAACCACTCCACCCCCATTCCCAAACCAATTGTCCCAGCACCCTTGGACGAACACAGGTGAACGAAATCTGTGAACGACCCCAAGAGGAGTTTTTCCATTAAGGTGTCCTAGACTGAAGAAGCAAGGACGAAGAAATCCGGGTTTATCATAAAGACGAACCTCCCCCCTAACCAATCTATCGTAAATCTTAGTCATCCCCACTAACTAACAAACAGGAACGTCAGACTGAACAACCAGCACTGATCAAGTCAGCTAGTCATAGGAAATCTCACGGATTGACTCCCTAACTGCTTTAAAACCCTATCAACCTACTTTCTTACTCACTTGGCCTGACGAGGCTTTTGTGTCAAAAGCGAAACGCTGCCCAGCAAAAAATCCACCAATTGTTTACCAAACCCCTCTGAATCGGTCCCAAACATTTTCCAAGAGCAGTTTTTCCTCACGTAAGTCTCTCTTAGAACCGTCAGTTAATTCAGAATAAAAGTAACTTTCTGAAAAATATGCGCATCCCTCGACTGACGAAAGAATGGTGTCTACAGAATCACAGTGTCATATAGATTCGTTGGGTTTTGTGTTTCACGTATATCCATTTAAAATGAAAATGGGAGAAAACGGTTTCGAAGGCACGAATGGCAATTTGAATAGTATCTGAAAATGAACGTCATTCAAAACCTCTTTATCTCTCTACCACTACCAGTCACTGTAACAAGATGTGCGTCTCTTTTGTTCAGTACCTACGATACCTCTTTTAGCGAAGCAATGTGCAAGGATATCCGGCGGATGGCTTGGATAGTACCAACATAACGTATAAACAATGTAGCCCGGCAACTTCACTGTTTGAGTTTGTACCAAGGTCGGTGAAATATATGCATCTACTCAAGGCTTACTAAGTAGTCCGTACGTTCCTCGGTGTCAATCACTTCATAGTGTTGTGAGAGAGCAGGAAATATGGGAACAGAAGACATGTCAATGACAAAAGAAATAAAAACAAGGGATTAGTATCTATTGTTCAAAAGGTTTATTGGTTCGCCAAATCTGGCCCAAGGGTTCTTTTTCATTGAACATGCTGATTGCTAGATGAAGGTGAGTGTGGTGTTGGTGTTTTGTGAACGAGGATTCGTGTGTCAATCGGGAAGAGCCAGATGTATGCAGAATTGAGTAACAATTGATAAGTTTACACAAACGTAAGACACTGCGAATAAGGTCGCTGAGAACTTGGAAGCCCACGAGCGGTCTTGCTTTTCTTATGGCTCATCAGGCAGGCATAGTCCCCGAGTTTCCGTCAACCTACTTGAACCAAAATTACACGAAATTTGACTTATACAAGCTTCTGCATGTCAGTTTGGTTTCCTTGACGGGAGACTCGCCTGAAAGCCAACTGAATCTCTAGTTTATGATGTTCTTAAGCAACTGAATGTGTTGCACTAGTTCTCCTCATAGTTCAGTGTGTATGGTACACTAGACATAGCAGTATACTGTACAGACGTAATATACTACTCGTAATGTGGCTGAAAACTCATTGCTAGTCCACGACCGGTTTCGCACTTCTCGTAGCTTATAAGGTAGGCACAGTCCCGGAGTTTCCGTTAACGTTATATTTCACTGGAATTCAAATTTATTTGAATAGGAGCAACACCAACGAGAGATTCATCAGGGTCCTAGGTGAGTAGTTTGTTAAAAAAACAAATTGGTATACAGACGAGTGTATGAAATAAAATCTTCTGCGATTGGATCCCCGTAGAAATTTGTAGCATCGATGAGTTTTCGTGCTCAGAACTCTGCCACTACATTAATTACCCTTAGGAAGCGAGCCCCACCGCTTGTAAAAGCTCTTTCATTACTTGGTGTACTGACTTATTCAACGAGAGAAGTGATATATGGATGACAAATGAATATTACCGAACTCGTTTGTTCCATTAGTTCCACCGTGGCCACACTACTTCCGAAGAGACAGTACCGAGGCATTTTCACACCAACTACTCCCGCAACTGCAGTTCCACTATGAAGACCTGTTAGAAAGAATGACAGAGATAGGAGTAAGCTGTGAGGTCCTGAGGGAACTTTAAACGGTTAGATGAAGATGTCACTTGACCAGGAGAGTCAGTGAACAATGCTCACATATTTTTTTCAAAACCGATGTTGTGAATCCTGTAAAACCCTTGTAAGATCTCCAATCTTATTGGATTTTCTTTCATCAGGTCCAGTGTGACGGTTATGAAGATTTGGATGCAGTCATTTAGCTACTTACGAGTAGTTGAACGTTAGTAAGGTGGCTCATCGGCTAGGTCAGGGTAGCCCATTGGCTTTCGCTCCGTCACCGGACACCTCGAATTATATGTACAACAGATGAACATTGAAAAACCTGTCATCAACAGGAACCTCAAGGCGAGAGACATTCCTCATCAAAAAAGGATTAACTGTGTGATCCTTTCGAGAGGACACAAAAATTTGATAACTCTCAAGCTGACGGCCACCGACGAAAAGCGAAGTCCCTGTGTTGTACAGTGCGCAATCTGCTTCAGTGTTCAAAATAAAGCATTTCTAATACACCTAAAAGTTTCTCCGCTTGGCAAAGCTTGTGAAAATAGATAAGTATATGCTTGTTTTATTGTACACTTCAGGACAACGTGGTGGTTCAGTTGGACTTTCTGAATATGAGTCTTGGCTTGGTCGTTTTCATTAAGATCTGGTTGTTAGCGAGCGAAACACGTGATCTGTCGTTGTTGACTAAGTTGAAATTTTGACGATACAAAATGCATCAAGGCAAGACTTACGCTGGGTGATCACACCTTGCACTAACTCTGTCCGGTAGACCAGAACACAATAGGAATGTGACTTTTTGCATAGCTCAGTCCATAAAATTTCGGTTGCGCACACTTAAAAGCTAATGGACAAATGGGTCGAATACGCTGAGTGGACGTGACGTGGACAGCGCCAAGGTTCAAACGGTAGTTTTGATGAGCTGGACGATTGGATGCGGCAAATCGATTCGGTATTTTGGAAAATGAACCCTCATGCTAACTGGTTGCAGATATCCGTGATAATGAACACAATTTCATCATCTCTCGTTCACACTGCTACCAAATTTGATCTTATAGTTCCTGTCACTTGGATCCGTTGGTCAGTCAATTCTTGCTTGTTTTATTTACTTATTATATTTAGTATTCATTCAGTTGTTTACCAAAGCTAGTTTTATTTTTCGGGCTGCTATACTCACTCAAGGAATAGCACTATAACCACAACCCTTTTGGTTCTCATTCTTGTCCGGAATTCCGAATGTTTTTTCTCGTGTAATTTTACACTACTACATACGCTTCCAGTAGTGATCGGTCATCAAAGATATCGGCTGATTGCTCATTTTCATTGGTAGACATGACCTATATAAGTAATTGCTATCGCTTGTGGAGCACACTCATTACGGCTTCCTGAACTTCACAATCGGTCGCTGCAATTGTCCCTTCCCATCGGCTGATTGCTCATTTTCATTGGTAGACGACCTATATAACTGATTGCTCTCACTTGTGAAGCACACTCATTACGGCTTCCTGGACTTCACAATCGATCGCTGCAATTAACCTGCCCCTGCCGAAGGGTACGCAGTGAACGTTGCCACTCAAGTGCAGTGAAGGACCTATAAAACACCGGACATATTATAGCTGCTGTGGCATATTTACGGTAGCACTCAAGCTTGGCCGGTTCTGATGAAAAAACATTACCCCAAAGAAAATAGAGGCATGTTCTCAGAATCAAACAAAGGATAATGAACGCATTGTTACAATCTATTATGTTCTTTGGTCAAAGCAAAATTTTAACTCCAATAGTGCGACCAAGCATTGCCGAGCTGCACCTAAGAAATACGACTAAAGATTGTAGATCTGGTGCCTTGGTTTTGTTCGCAAGATTGTGCGGCCACGTTAGAACAATCCTTCATCGGTCTTGGTGTGACTGATTCACATAGAACAGGATAACAATGGACGAATAGAAACGGTTAACTGTCAAACCGTAGGCATGGCTACAAGTTTGCTTTGGGTGTGATTCCTGATGTATCCAGCGGTTCCCTTATTAGCACATTGATGGCTTAAGAGTAGTTTAAGCGTATCATCTACATGATCTCTGATTCCCTCGGGTGAAAATGGGCAATACGAGAGGAATGACCAGCTAAAATGAACTTAAGAGGACTAAACTCGAAGCATTACGCTGCTGTTTTGGTCATTGACGAACGGATTCACTGTAAAATAGGGAGGCCAAGGGTCAACCTACTGGAAGTACCTAATTTATCTTAGCAAAATGAAATTAAACAACAGGAACTACCAGTTCACATATTTTGGCCCTTATCTAAAATCACTGAACGGGGAATACAGACCCTATACACTTTGGAGGACACCAAAGTCTCACGAGGACGCAGTTATCCACAACAGCTGACGGCAGCCCGTCCAACTTACCTACTCGAATTTTAATACCCTCTGGTGGGTCCTTTGATTCATCCTTGATGGAATTGGCCGACTGAATCATATCGATACCCATCTCGGCCATAATGGGTGCGTGTAACTGTGTTCGTACAGGACACCCGGAGGCGATCAAGTAGGCATCTCCAACTGTCTCAACCTGAAACAGACAATGTTTGTTACCAACGTTTTAGTTCCATGCAAGAAATTTTGAGCAATCAACAGTTGCAGACGAGATACGTCACGATTTTATCTGATCCTTCGTATGGAGTGGCAATAACTGAAGATGCCTGACTTGACTACGCATGAGTGGGCAAATATTTAAAGTGTCAGTTTATCGGAAGCAGGTTGAAGATCAAACTAGAAACCGTCATACAACGAAGGCTTCGAAAGTCCTGTCGACTGGATAAAGTAAATGCTACAACTATGGCTGCAAAACGTGGGAGAATATAATCCGGTCTTAATCGTCAAATCCATCGAGAACGACTGAGATTGGCCGAAAGCGCTGAAGCGTTGTCTTGTTATAGCCTGACTGATTGCACTATAATAGTGATCTCTAAAAGCATGGTATAGCAGACGTTGAGAGTATGTTACACACTGTTTCTGCATAATATTCTCAGAGTAGCTACCAGCTTTGTCACGAAGTGCGCACTTTTTGTCAAAAATCCACATAGACGTTTCGTCCTTTCTGTGCATAAGCTGGGATTCAGAGTGTGCCATATCATCTTCTTCGTTTCGCTGGAGGCGCTCTGCAACTTTTTGGGTTAAACAAATGACACTTTCCGACAATACGACTGGAAAAATACCGATCAATGTAACCCAGCTCGCAATTGCGATTTTAATCAGTTAATACCCGATTCTTTGAAAGCCAGTTAACGCATACGACCGCTTGTGTCAGCGAACAAGAGGCATTCTAGTCTACCCGTCGTGCAAGCGCCCACTTGGGTGCTGAATTCAACTGTTGGTTACTGAATGTGCTGACTCAAAATGTCAAAAAGGCCATAAAAGGTTTCGCTTGTTCCTGTGAATGACGGCTCACTAGAAGATTTCTGGGGACATACGACTTCGGAAGGACACCACATGAGCAGTCAAGCCCCGTTTATCCGGGGTGATTAGCCATCCTAGCTCAACTCGTGTGCTCGTTCGGACAATCATCAAACAGACATTTTAGAAGCAGTAAAACAGACGAGTACGTTTCCGCTTCTATTCCCAGCTTTTGGTCGCCACATCAAATAGCGATGTCAAAATGGAATACACGATCGGGTGGTGAGATGGAAAAGTTCGCAATCCTCGTGTCTGGACGGTCAGCTTAAGCACACAATAAGTCCTGCTTGACCACTACAGCACTCGCAGCTTAAAAGTACACGTTTTCTCGTATAAAAAGGTTCTACAGGGCCTCCTTGGAAGTAGTGGACCGCACAGGCCAAGATTGTCTACGCAAAGCGCTATCAGACACAATCAAAGCAGAATAAGGAAGAGCTGACTTCGGGCTATCAAGCATCACTTGAGCTTGAGACAGCCCATAGTCTAAGGCTCCAACATACGGACCCGAATGTCCATAGTTTGAAACCAACCACAGAAGTTGGGCTTGAGCAATCAGGCATTATCTAAACCCTCGTGCCTCCTTCAAGAAGCATGGCACCTAGGTACCGAACGAGTGTTACCCATGAAGGATATTGAGGAATCGCTTGATATTTCTCTCGAAATTACGATGCTTTACTCAGATGCTAAATTGTCCAACTTTGCTTCTGTTCATTCTATCCCTATTACAGGGAGTATGTGGCGAATTTTTCAGGTCATATCGCTGTGGTCTGGACATTTTGGATGAGTTTTTGTTCATATATTCTTGCGGAACGGTCTGGTATTCATAAAAGAAACTATTCCCAAGGTTGCTGAAAACTCTTAGACATCCCACAACCGGTTTCGCCCTTCTCGGGGCTCATCAGGTAGGCGCAGTCCCCGAGTTTCCGTCAATCTTATGTTCTACTTGAATCCAAATTGGACTGTTTTCGAGAAATACATTCATTTGCAAATCAATTTGATTTTCACGAAAGACTCGACTGAATCTCTCGTTTATGGTATTCTACAACTGAATGTGTTGCACACGGGCCGCCTCATGGTTCATTTGGCACGATATGCGAGATATCGCACTATATTTTCATAAAGGAAACTACTCACAAGGTTGCTGTTGAATTGTCAGGGCTTTCAGCAGGCGTATGAGTAGTGCACCGTTGAAATTTCACTTTTAACAATTGCCTTTAACAGAAGAATGAAATCAACTAATAGATGGATGACTAAATGAAGCGACTAACTATGGGAACTACGTTGGTCGACCTACACACTAAGTCACTCATTTGTACGATCTGGGCTTGAATTGTAAGAAGGGATGATAATCATTCAGTAATCTCTTTTTCGTTTGATGTGACAAGGTCTGTGTTTTAAGCCACCTCGTCCGCTGCATTACAATTGGTGTCCATGTGAACAAGTCCGTAAGAGTAAGCAGGCTTATAATCAGTTATTTGGATAGATACTTTGACAAGAGGAGGGGAACTGATGAGTCAAAGATTTTTGTGGTTTCTAAATTGAGGCAAAGAACCGCGAAATTGATTTATGATACTCATTTGATCATTACTCACTTGATCATGAACAAAAATTCAGTTAGGTCATAGTACCTTGAAAGTGCAATGGGGCGTGAAGGTTTTTTACCGTCCGTTTGCGGCAACCTTGGCAAATATTAGAACTAGTTATTGATTCGATAAGATTGACCTATTTCATCCTCAGTTACATCTCTTAATATGAGGAAAAGACAGTAAACCCAATGAATAACTCAGCTGTTGGGGTACTTATGACCTCAACCAGAGTGTGTGCTCACAGTGTGTCTGAGCGTCTATAACCTGATGTACTTTGATTCTGAGCACTGTTTAGCTGTACGTATGTGTCAGAATGCACATCCCTGAGGCGCAACCTTATGTCTTCTCTAACTTCGGGGCCAGAAAACGAGGCGGTGTCTTCATTGTATTGATCCAGGCAACCGTAGTTAGATTAGGTTATCGAATATTTCATTCCGTCTACAAAGTGTCGCTTTCATCAGCTTGTCACGTGATAAACCACGTACACATCATTTATTCTTTCAAACCTTGTTCGGAAATTTCTGGTGACCGATTCCAGATTCTAATGTTTTCCTACCATTGCCTAAATAGGCGAAACACTTGCCAAGCGCTTGCTCGGGCTCGGTACCCGATCACACTTTTGGCATCCACACCGTGTGTAGAGGGTTAGTTCGGAAGGGGAAACTTACCTCGTGGCAAACAAGAGACGTCCATACTTATTCGTAATCTAGTGAAAACTGTGTGGGCCTTTAAGGTGACAACCAGGGTTGCAGTAAACGTGACGGTGGTGGTCCCTCTTTCAAGAGGATCACACACAACGTATCTGATACTACTGAAAGGATTGTTCTCATGAGTACCAACCATCAAGTGCGCGCTGATCACGCGTGTAAAGACATTTTCGAGCGGTCAATAACAACCGGAGCAGCATCAATATGCGGCAGTATATAAGGCAATCGAGCGAGCTAATAATCGATAAGATCCAAGGATGTTTCTTGTTTTGGCACACTTTTTTGCAAGAGTGCGCATTTATAGAAAGTTATTCTGGATTATGTCGAATAAGACGTACCTTGTAGACTTTGTGCTTCTCAGCCAATCCGTCAAAACATCCATAGAGGTTGTTCAGTAACTGTACCACTTCCAGTGGGGTCAAACCTCCGCAAATAGTTGTAAATCCAACTACGTCGCTCAACAACAAGGTAACATCTTCAAACGTCTGAAATTTTGATAAGGGCAGAGTCCAGGTATAATGGTTTCAATCTAAGGAGGAAGCAGTTAGGGAAAATCCTAGAACAGGTGATTTTAGCGATTGAATTCTCACCACTGGAAGCTTGACTAAAAATCATTGCAAGCTACCATTATTATGGTTTTTTCATTGCCCTAATTGATTGGTCGAAACAAGGTTGACCTTCAACTTATTGAAACTTCAGTCCGATAACTGGGAGTCAACCAACCAGTGGTTTTTATTGATTCCCATATCGTAGACCTTCATATTCTTGAAACTTGTCTTGCTCATTAAATTACTTGCTCTACCCATCTTTGCAAAATAATGGTGATTAGATGTACCACTGAGGTGATGTGTTAATGCGAATCTGCAAACAATCAACCATTAGCAATTTCAATGATCTTTTGGTTCTGAAATATTGAAAAAGTTACGGAACATCCCTACTTGGATAGAGTTTCTGTCATTTTTGTCAGCATTCATCATCTTCGTTCCTTTGGAAGAAACCTCTATGATCTCAGGAATAATTTTGATACAAATGTCACACGAAACGTCATTAAGGTCATCTGTTTTTCCTGACTCCTTGATGTCAGTTCAAGTTAAACAGAGGTCTTGACACTATCAATCAAAACATCTGTCAGAATCATTTCGGTTGCAGAGAATTTGCGTGTTGCAATAGCACGAAACACCATTGTTAATTCTTTTCAGTGTCCAAAATGCCCTAACTCTTCTCTATCCTAGTTTAGTTCTAAGTAGCCCGATTTCCCGTGTTTATCAATGTACCTTTGTTCTGTCTCCCTTATCACTTGTCTCAACCATTGCACGTCGCAGTCACCGCAAAGAATTCTGTGTATGTCTGTTCAAAATTGCTTATCTCTCTCCGATATAAATTAGGTCTCTGTAAGAGAGAGTTGGCCTGTCGGAGGGTCGAATGTGGTGGTCACGACAGAATTCCAGTCCGCTTTCCACTTTGTAACTCCAATGTAGGGAGCGCCAAAGGCCATTCTAGTCTGAATGCGGTCAGTTTATTCTTTCTTTTTGGGCTGTACCATATTATGCACACACTCTGAAGTGTGATGGCACCAAGTACGGGGGGGGGAATGGGAACGTCGACACTTTGGGACCCCAAGGGGATCTACTGGCTATTCTTGGTCTGCAGTATTCTCTCTCTCTTTGCTGAGTACGTTTATCCTCACTTGTAACTTTCAGTTGTTCCACTTGCTAATATTCAGACGATCCTTACTGATCTTTTAGGTTTCGATTGTTCTTTTTTCGTTCATCTAAACGTACCGATCTATTGGTTGCTGTTTGACAGAAAGACATCGCCAAAGCGCTTGTGAAAACTATCCACTACAGCTCTCCTTATCGCTACAGTTTACTCTTACTGATCATATGTTCGTATGTCAACACTGATGTGTCCACCGCTCAGTGTCCCAAGCCCAGGTGTCCCTCAAGCTGCTTCCAACATATACACTGCTCACGAATTCAATCTGTGATTATCAATGCCAATTTGTTCATTTTAGCGAGCCTTCGTTGGTGCTGCATTCTGTTCATGTAATCGACATAGGGGTCGAACCCACTCAACTGGGGCTAGCATAGACAACTTTCAACTACTTACAAGGATGCCAAAATAAACTAATAGTTTCAATAAATAAAAGCATGATTAGCGGTTTCTCAACCACTATTTCGGCATAGGGTGTTGGGAGAACGAGGAGATTGTCTCGAACGGAAATAGACGGCAAATGTCGGTCGGAAAACAGGTGCCTCGAATATAAAACAGGTTGGTTATTAATTTGCCTGTGTTGTCTAAGCGTGTCTGACAAGCGCTGCAAAGTCATAAGAACTCAGAGTGCGCAAGAATCAAGAATGTCCAGTAGACAAAGATTAAAGTCAGTTTAAGGTCACATATTGTGGGATAACACATGTTATAATGTGATGATAATCAGTGACGATAAAATGCGTGATTTGGAAGATCTGGACTCAATTGTTTATCAGATTCGGCCACAGGTCATGACTATCATCATCCCTTTGTAGTCACATTTATGTGAGCGCCATGGAAGCTCTTCAAATGGTTTCCGACATGGGTTTCCACTATTTTCACTGTTGTTTACATTCATCATTCACGAGTTAATGAGGCGAACTTTGGACGGTCTGCAAACTGCTGGTGTTCGAATCTCTGTTTTAGAACACTGCAAGTACCTCTGGGGTTTCATTGGCTCTGATGCTAGTGTGACAGTCACAGTCAGCGTTTGAAGCCCAAAGGTCAACCTGTGCCCTTTATGGAGCAAAAAATTATGTATCGCTGGGTTTCAACGTACGGTTGTATCAGTCTACAGTGTGGGCTGTATTGATGTACGGCTGTGAGAATTGGCCATTTCTAGAGGAGGATGTGAGATATCTTCAGTACTCTGGTCATCTGTACCTCAGAACTACTAATGGAATCGGCTTGGACGACAACAAGCAAAAAGCAAGATATTCAAGGCAGAGATAGGACTTTGGTAACCTGAGACCAGGAACACATTCTACTGACAGCTTAAAAACGTCTGAATTCTCCCTTGCGGCGGCTACGCACGCAGTTGGCGTTTTGTCTCTTTAGGATTCGTTTCAATACTGTATACTATGTTCCAGGATAACCTATTCCCTGATCAAAATAGAGTTTTTGTTAGGAGCAAAACATTCGCTCGTGGGCCCCTAAAATAATTATTGTATATTATCCCTGTGCGTTTCGAGTAGTTCTTTGAAAGCGCATATATAAACAAGACGTGTTCCCATGCATAACCGAAAATTGATGACTACTGCCTTAAGTGTCGAACATAACTGACGTATCGGTTCGGATGCTCGTCCATCAATCGATTTGCTGATATTTCGTTTGGGCCTCTTCAAGTAGGTAGTTCAATTATAGTAGCCGAGTTTCGTGCTCAACTCGGTTGAGTCAAGTATGTCAGATGTACGCTAGTAAGATGTCAGTAAACATATTCTGTTCACGAATCAAGCAGCCGAACTAAAAACTCAGACTGTTCACAATTGGTGAACTCGTACGCAAAAGGAACTCTTTGGGTGGGAAAGAAGGTGTTGGTTGGGAGAGAGGGAAATATAGATGAGAAATTGCAGCGAGACTGGTCGTATAGTTGTGCGCGTGGGCCAGCAGTCTGACTTATTTAGAGTTCCCATAAAAGACGAAGAGACCTTGGATCTTACCAAATGAGAAGTTGAAAGTAAAGAGGAATTACCCCCGCCCCAGTAACTGACTCAACACAGTGCAGATTTACTGAAGTCTGATTACACACCCAGTATACTTGTAGGGAACGTACCTCACAAGTGTCCACTGCAGCAACTCCTGATCGAAGACGTTTGGCCACGGCACGTGGAATCATTTGATAAAGCAATTCGTCCGTACGCTTCACCTCCTCGTCCAACTTTCTCAGGTTCTCCTCCAGTCGCTTGCTTTTCTCACTTTCCTGTTTATAAACCAACGGGAGACGGACAAACTGAAAAAACGGGACTACGACACTTTTCGCTACAAAAGTGATGGGTTAGTTTGTCTGTGTCATCTTCTGCTTCTGCAGTAAACCGTTGAATCAAAGACACCCACGGAGTCTCAAAAGTTACAATAACTTTATGTCACTATCGGCTCTACCAGAGTTTGGTCCAGTGAGTAAAGAAGAGAACAAAAAGCGCAGTTTATCATAAGCATACACGAAGAAAAATCAACTTTATTTGAGAAAAGCTGCCAACATACTTGCTCCAAAGCCAGTTTCAACTCAGCCGCTTGTTGTTCCCCCGCGAGAACCATATCACGACTTGAATCGTGCATGCTCAGCTCATTTAAACAAAGACCCAAATCGAAGAGGTCTTCAACATCACGTAAGCTTTTTAGAAGAAACGAAGATAAGAAATTCGTTTTAGAAAATGAGTGAAAGTGTTGAAATTTTTTAACCAGGGAGCATAAGCACAATTTCGTTATTAGTATTAATATTTGTTATCCACACAACGTCAAGATTCACGGGCCATTACTGGTGGTGGATCTTTGTGCTGTTGGATTTGCTTTTAACTGCAGACACACCCCGCTCAATCCTAGAGAATCAGTGTTCTGACAGTCAATTACAGGACACGCGCATGGATTACCAGTGTAGCGGTGGGTACTACTGATGAGGCATGCGAGTAGTATGTTTTACCGTAAGCCCGCTCCGCGTCTCTTGAAAAGTGAGATCTGTTCCGGAATTTGTGGAGTCACTTTGTAGCATTTTCTTGGATTTGAGTAACAGCCAATGAATATCCATGAAATTTCGGCAAGTTCAAGACAAGAAGAAGATGGATATTCAGTTTTTTTAACAAGATGCATACTAGAGTTTTGCTCCCCTGTCCAATAATCTGTAACTGTTTAGTTGGTGTTCCGCTAATAAACATCCCCACAGAGAAGGCCTTCTTCCTTTTATCAGTAGAATCAGCTCCAAATTGCTCTCACCTATTTAGCCCATGGTCTACTGAAACAGAAGAAACGACATAAACAAGCACAATTCTTTTTAAATGCGACATATGAAGATCCTACCCATAAAAAAGATTATTTTCACATGTGAACTATTCGGAGAGAATGTAGGCAAGTGAGTTAGCGCCCAGTTGCGCCCAAAGTGCCTTAGTTTATTTAATTTTGCTTTTATTTGACGGAACAGTTTACGCTGAACCAACTTTCCAGAAGATGAATTTAACAGCAAAAGGTTTACTGCAAAAAGCTATTTTCACCTTGGTTCCAAAGTGGGCAATTTAAAAGGGCTGGTAGATTCTTTCATGTGGTAATCGAATCGTGGGAAGCAAAGGCCTGTTGGTTCCAGAGTGGCGATGAAAATGAAAAAGTGATATCCTGAGTGACTGTTTGCTCGGCAGTTGAAAACATGGATCACTGTAAACTCTGGATTTGCTAGTGTGCGGTAAACCAAAAAAAACGCAGCGAGTTAAAGAACACGGAACAACCAGAGCTGGCAAAATACTGGGATAACTGAAAAATTCTCTACCGTAATAAGGTGATCGAATCCTCAATTTCAACATTCAGAGTGCGCGAAATATGAACTGCATGCTTCAGCAACTTGTTGGGCACTGAATGCAACTCCTCCATCGTGCAATCACAATGAGTTAAACCAACCTCTATTCTAGTGAATGGATTACATGTATCTTCTCCCACTGTGAAGGTACAATTTCCACAACAAAGCCATGTAGTTCATGAGCCACAAACAATCGATACTATAAAGCCAATAAGGAGCGGATGAACAAAATTTTCGGGGCTGTTCGGATTGAGTTGTAACAACGGTCATGGCTACGAGATGCAGATGAAGCCTATCTAGAACTCCTCAGCCCGTCCAACTCAGTTAATGAGTCACTTTATGATTAAACCCGTTTTCAGATATGTAGAAAGTGCATCGATTCATCAGATCATTGGCAGATGAAGTACAGAACGGTGAAGGGGAGGATAAGATTATGGATATGAAAAGGTTCATGGGATCAGCCCTTGATTACAGTATTTAAACGAATGCCAACGCCCGCCAGGATGTCAGTATTCTGTTTTGTCTGAAGTCATGATACCATTGCAGCTGTAAGTTGTTAAAGCTTTGAGTAAACCGGACGAGAAACCAGAGGTTGGTTTCCGTGAAAACCGAGACATAAGAAGAAGAGAGTTTCGTCCGGTCAAAGTCGTCAACGTAATTTTGCGGAAAAAGTAAATTGAAAACAATTCCAAAACAGTGTCTCAAACCGTATTGGCCGAGAGAAAGGGTCATGCTTTGTGCATACGATGGCGGTTATCACTTTGTTGAACAAGTACTTCTGGGATTTCAACAGATCTACAGTAATACTTGAAGCAGAGAGGCAGGAAAGCGGTCAAAATCAAACACTCAGGGCAGCTGAATTTTTCAGATGGTGAATGATCAGCATCGATGATTCGGGTTCAATGATTCTCCCTCTAATTGGCTATCTGTCCCAACTTGTTAAGCTGTGCGACTTTTGATGTGAACCTAAAGACGTACAAACAGGTTGCTCTAAAACAATTCCGGATGACTGTACAATCAGTATGTAATCTTTAAATGTTTGTGACACTCAGGACAGTGTATTTCAGACGGAATTGTAGGTGCCGAAGAAGGGGCGCAGGCTGAGCATACAAATTTTTTCTACAGAAAGCAGAAAAGAAGCAAAATACACGCGGAGCGCAAGTCTTAGAGCGTACGAGAACGATGAATAGCTGTTTTGTGCAAAAAGAAATTAAGACACTTTCTAAGCGTAGTACGCCTTGGGGCTATCAAGTATGGGACGAGTGTTCCGAAAATGCGTGTTCAGCGAGGGTTCTAGTAAACTTAGTTTCACCCAGTCAAGGTAATATTACAAGCGATGTGGGGACCAGCACTTATGTGCTGATACTTTTGAGTGCATACACTGGGAAAGTTCAGGGTTGTCTATCTCAGCTTGATTTTCTCGGTCGAATTGCTGTGACAGTGGTTAGGATGGACAAACATTTGAAGGTGAACAAATTCAGCTAATGGACAACGGTTAGATTGGGATCATTATGTAAGTCCGTGAATCTCAGCTGACCAGGTCACTCGGCCTAACTTGTAGCACCAAACTACTCCTATTGGTCCCATTTTGTAGTAGTATATCTCAATCTGATAAAGCGTTAGGTGAGACGGGGGCTGGATAAGAGACCCAAGGAGAGATATACCACATTTAGACATGAAAAAAAACGATAAACATACTGCAAGGGACCCGTTCCTGCACGAGGCAAAAGGTTTCATCCATTTAGACCAGATGCCATTAGAAGTATGCTGATTGCTACTCACAAAGATTATGTGATCTCGAATTTCAGAAACAAGTTTCACTTCATCCTGCAGTCAAATACTGTCTAGCAAATAATGGCCAAGAAACCGCTTGGTAGGGTAAACTAGTCTCCTTCAGTATGGGCCCGGCGGACTCAAGACCGCAGTAGATAATAGTAGATAAATAGTGACATTATCCTTGTCCTTTTACCTCTGCTCCAAAGTAGTTTTGCACTGAGAGGACACTGAGTGCCCGTCAAAAAGAACGCGCGAACGCACTCCAAAGAAGTACATGCGGGTCACCAAATAGTACCCTATCTGGTGGTCGTTGGCTTGTTCGCTGAGCTGGGCAATTTGATTGCAAACGTTTCATCACCAATCGAGGTGACATCATCAGTGCGTTATTGTGGAGCGTAGTAGTGCGTAGCGGTGGGTTGGTGGTTGTGCGTTGGGTAGTGTTGTGCGTGCTGCTAGCAGGGGATGACCTTTGATCGCTACCTGAGCTACCGACATTTTCCTCCATAGTACCCAATCTCGGGAGAACGCACTACTGAAACACAAATTTCGTCGTTTACTGCAAACCCGATAAGGTAAGGAACATTTTGCTATTTCAACTCTGCTGGGAACCATAAGCCGTGGGCGAATATAGACACCGCTACAGTAGTCCAGGTGAATCTGCAGGGGTGAAGCGCAAGAGTTGCTGTATCCTAATTGTGTGCACACACTGCTGTAGCAGCTGAGTGATACCTCACTACCTCAGTACCTCAGTAAATCAGTATACTGTGTGTTGTGGACTTGAAGTGGGCTTAGGATTTCCTCGATGATAGTCGGGATGAAACAGTGTTTTCCCGTCTTATCAGCACTGGGATAATTAACTCCATGAGATCAGATTTGCTATTTAAACACCGGGTAAAAAGTGTTCATTGGCCAGTCTTGGGTTTGTCCTCATTTTTATCAGCATCACGTGGTTGAGTTTAATTCCATTCATGCTAGAGATATTTCTCCATAACTTTCCAATTATCTCCAGGAAACAGTGTTCTAGTCTAATTTCATTTATTCAGATTGTCCAAGGGACGTAGTTTTCAGTTCCCTCTATCTTTAACTGATTATCAAGTGAGTAGCTAGCTTTAAGTTTAGAAAGTTAGTACTAAATGAAGTGATAGAGGTTTTTGCTATTTGCAACACAGCTGGGCTGATCGTTACATTTTCCATTATACTGACAGTCAAAGCCGAAAGTAGCTCAGAGTTTAGTACAGGAAATGACTGTCAGAAAGGTTCGTTGTTCAAACCCAACCACTGCATCTGGACTGTTTGTTTCTGGGCAACCTGGCAGTATCTCAACTCTGGTGCTTCCTGGGGTCAAATGGATGCGATTCAACAAAAGATCGGTAAAAAATTAATGATTACTTTTATTACTATTTACAGTCAATCAGTGCAGCGTTTTCGAGATCATCTCTTCAGCATTTGCCTTTCGTGTGTGTGTGTGTGTGCGTGTGTGAACGAGAATGTTTTACATTTGTAAAGGTACGTGGCACTCAATGTTAGTTGAACCGCGCGTAAACATATAACATACATTGGAGTTGCCAGAAGAGCCAGAGCGTCCCATTCTTCAAGAAATTTCATCTGCCCGCGCAGTCTAAATACATTCTGATCCGCGAATTCCGGATCTCCATCGTCTGTTTCTAGATATAAGATATTTATGGAGAAAGAACAGGCGTAAAACACGCAAAGGTATTTGACTAGGAAAGCATATCCCCAAAAGCGTTTAGGCCCTACCCAGAAAATGCAACTCTTCTTTCCTATTTTAAGTAAGGGTCTTTGTAAATGTGCCTTTGTATGTAACTGTCATAAACAGTGTTGATCAACAAAATTGGCCTGAAGAACGAAGGAACAATGCCTTTTGAATCCATTAAAAAGTAGTGATATTGGCATGCCGCATTCGATGAATCCTATGATGTGCCATCCTTTGATTTCACGTGGCTTATCAAAGGGATCTAGCCAAAACATTAACTCGTGGCCTGATCCCGGGTTTTAAAATTGACCGGGGACTAACGAGGGTCTCATGATAGCCTTGTGAAGTTTCGACGAGAATAACACCTGGATTACATCATTCCCTTCGTCAGCAACAGTTTGCTCACTACTAAAGAGCTAAAACATACTTCTTTATATACTTGAAGTTTTGACACAATGGGGCGATATTCAACATTATTGATCGTATCGTAGTATTCTCGGGATCCATTGGGAGCCCTACATCAGTCCCAATTTTCCTACGTACGAAGAGTTAAAAACACCACGAACGAGTTAACCACACTTTTAACGCAAGCAAACACTCGTCTAAGCACACTGGTGACCGGAGAGACGGCCGGTACGGCTGGTGGGAAGGTCGTGACAGAGAAAAAGGATTGGAAATCAAAAAGCAGAAAGACCAGGTAGAAAATCTAATGAAGGAACTATCAAACTACCAGGTTAGAACATATTGGGACTTTGCATCATCTTTACTGTTTGTCCCAACTTACTCTTTCGACAAGATACACAATGTGATTGCAAGTAGTTTATGGGGACATAAAAAAAACAAATTCAAAAGGTGAGGAATGCTGTTGTCAAGTTGTTTTCTACAGGCAAGCACTGAGACCGGGTTCTGAGAGATAAAGGACTGCTAAGGTTAGTTGAAAACTAGTTTAATCCTTCATTCCACCAAAGTTTGCATGAGGTTTGATTTGATTGGACATAACTGGGCCAAAACCCTGGCATCAATCTAGAGACATAAGTCTTCAACAGTCCGGATGTGCTGTCCCCCAAGAAAGGGGATGCTTTATCTCGTCGTTAGCTTGCAGGATCTTATCTAATTGCCTCTGAAAATGGGCCCGGTTTTCTCCCAAACTCAGCCTTAGTGAGACAATCCTTTTGGGTAGGAATATTCACCGATGCCACCGTACCACTCGCAGGCACCGCTACTGCCAAAAAACCTATTTCACACTGGACCCGCCGCTTGCCGGCCCAGCATCAAGGCGAGCTCTGATTGGTCGAAATTGTCAATCGAACAGCCAATCATTATCCAGGATCCTGTTTGTAAAAAGTATTTTATCAAGGTGGAGCGAGGCTATCTTGAAAGCCTAAAGATGGTTATTTATTAAACGGAAAAGCAAGCACAATTTGGTTGAACCACTTGCAAGTTGACGTCGTACAAATTGGAACAAATACCTTGCAGAAAACGACTTCTATTGCTAACCAAGTGGGGTGCACAAATTACGTAAAACAGGAAGTCGATAACCAGCAGAACTTCTCCCCGAAACAAACACTTCATCATCTAAGTAGATTCTCGTCTGGAAACCACTCTAAACAACTGTGTTGTCGAAAAGGCTGCCGAGATCCTTATACATGAGTCTTACCTGAATGTAAATGCTTAACTGAAAACAGCTATCGAGTAACTGTAGGGAATATGCTCGAATCGGGAAGATGGCACTTCCCGCGTTCAATTTTTGCTTCAATGAAGGATTCGGGTTAGGCATTCGGCCACTTGACTAGGAGCTTCAGTTGTCTATGAATACGGAAGAAGTCAACGGTCTGCCTGCATTTAAGACAAGAGAGCCCCAGCAACTCATTTTTATCCAGAATATGTTTGTAAGTATGTCTGTCGATAATAACGGGAGTACAATTGAAACACAAAATTTCGTGGGTTTTTAGCCAGACAGTTATCAACTGCCAATCACTGGGGCGATCTAAATTTCGGACTTGTTATGGTGATGGTTCACTTGATAAAGTAACACCCAAGCATATATCCTTTGCCTGATCTGACTCGAAAGGTCGGTGGTTCGAGCATTTCAGCTCATTCTAGTCGAGCATGGACTTTTAATTTAGGGACTGTGATTCATGATTGGACTTTGCGCGAAAATGTTGGTGCCCGGTACTGAGTCAAATTCGGTATCATTACTACTTACAGAGGTCCTTTATAGTCCTGTTTCGTTACTGTCGTTGTGTCTAGAGAAAATTCAAGCCACCGTACCCAAAAAACAATTATTCCCACAACTTATCTAAAATAAGCGATTCCCCATCTGTTTTCATTGACAGTTGTTCTCACCTAAGTTAACCGAACCGATTTCAGTTTAATATTAGTTTTCATTAAACCGACATTTCTACAAGCTCCTCTGATTAACGCTGTATCAGGTACTCATTCATTTGCTTGCGGTACTGCTTGGGCTTGAGTGAGCTGTGGTCAAACAAACTGAACTTTGGATTCGTTAAGTGATGTGTATGCTTGGTGATCGATTTGTATTCTGATTAAAAAGCACGGAAATTACCAATTACGGCCATACAAAGTTGCTGGTTATCATGTGCTTACCTTTACCACTCTTCTTGCTTTTTAGGCTGACCAGTTCAAATATTGAATTAGTATGGAGCATCACCTGTATTTAAAGTGGAATGATGTTAGAGAACGAGATATATTCACATAGATAAGTAAGGAGAGATGCCTCGATTACATACATTCGGGTTGAAGTTTAAATAACAAAGCGTTCAGTTCACTTAAGGAAGGGTGAGTCGGCCATATGTACAAGTGTAACGGAGGACGCTACTGGCGAGGCATGCGAGTAATATGTTTTTTGTAACCCCTTCTCACGTGTAGTGGAAGATGCACCCCATGGGGCTCATTACGGGACCTGTGCGTTCGTTTGCAATTACGTGCTAGTCAATGAATATCTATGCACATTCAAGAAGACGCATGAGGATGTTCAGTTTCTAAAATTAAGATGTATATTAGATGTTAACTTTCCTGTCCACCAGTTTGTAACAGTTTAGTTGGTGTTTGCCAGTAAACAACTGCGCAGCTAAGGGCTTTCCTCCTTGCAGTAGTGGTGATAACAATCGTTCGTTTGTGATACATTTTAGGCTCTTCGATGCTGTGCCATTCGGAAAAAGCGCGGGAGTTGAGATATTTCTGAGGTTTCCAAGACTAGACAGGGGCGGTCTTCATGCTCGAGTTGGGTTCGAACCACGGGGCTGTCACAAATCATTCAGACATATGGCAAAATAGGGTCAGTATTCTACCTGGTATTACGAAGTTAGGTTTTCTGGTCACAGGGTTAGCATCTCAAACTACACAAGGTCTTGTGTTACTGTTTTGGCTACTGGGAATTTGGTATTTCCGTTTCACCTATTATCCCCCGAGATTCAAGTTGTGACCCATTCCCTTGACTGTGAGCTGCACTGGAACTCCGGTCAAGCAATCGTCCTTAATTGGTGCGTTCCAAACGATCACGCACACTCAGTGGTGTAGACTGAGTGACCTTTTCTTAGTCGAAGTACAATTTACCCAGCAAACAGCTTGATCCAGTTTAGCTTCTTGTGAAATATCCTAACAATATATTTTCACAAAGTGAACCGCTTACAACGTTGATGGAAAAACTTCAAAAGTTCACGACCGATTTCGCACTTTTTGGGACTCATTAGGTGTGGACAGTCCCCAAGCTTTCGTCAAACGTATGTTTTAATTGAAACCAAATTTGACGAGTTTCGATAAGATCACTCATTCGCATGTCAGTTTAGTTTTGAAGGGAGACATCTTGAACCAAGCTGAATTTCTGGTTTATCATCTTCCGTCTTGATGGCTGTTGATCAGGTGGTAGTCGGTCGGCTCACGAAGCTTAGCAATTAGTCTGCACACGTTTCGTCACCGTAGGAGATGACACCTTCAGTGGGCTGACATATGTGTGCTTCCTCGACAAACTGTCGTTTCCTTCACCCCAAACTGTAGACCTGAAGCCACCATCCTGTAGGGTATGGTCTTCAGTCGCACACTGATTCCCGATAAGGAATAACCAACTGCACAGTGTCCCTCGGCATTTCAGCATTGACTGACTCCACTTAGAGGACGAAGTCCAATTATCGAGCAAGCAAAACCAAGTCAGGGTTTACTTATGAGCGTTAAGTAGCAGGGCCCTGTAGGTGAGACTGTTATGAATAAAATCCTAAAACTCCGCAAGTAATCAAAGCAAACATATCATTAATCTGGAAATTCCGGCAACACGCATGATACCGTTTTGAAATACGAGTGGATGTTCAACTGCTATTGTAGCTGGGTATTTTTTATTGATAAGTGAACCTAATGAATGTTTATTTGTCCGCTACATGTTTCTGAACTGTTTTTCGGTCGTTGAACCTGTTTACAAATATTTGGGAAGTTGATATTGCCACATCCGAGCGGCCCAAACGTATATGAACGTGGAAACGTTTCGAGGAGGTTTTCAGTGTTTAGTCAAAAGACGCAAACTTGCTGGGTGTTGGAGGACAAAGTGTTTCCGCAGGGTGCTCCATTCTATGGTAGCTATACGGTCGTCTAGAGTGGGCCAAGATCAAGTGGAAAACTGAGCTATAATTTGGTCTCTTCAAACGCCGCATTGATCGTAAGGGTGAACTACGATGTCTTTGTTATCAGAAATCACTTGCAATGGCTCCAACCAACCGATTTGTCCACATATTATTCACCAAATTTGGGCAATGGCTTCGGATGGGTTTTTTTTGTAAATTCCTTGGCAGTGACGTATAGGTTAAAAATGAATTACGTGAGGATAGTGAGGCAAGTATATTGACATCCGTAGTTGATCAGGTGACCATTGGTTTGCTCGCAGAGCTTGGCAATTAGTTTTTAAATCACCAGTTGATGTGAGGATGATGCTGGTGATAGAGTTCGAAGATTTTAAGACCGTTCAATTGTCCGCTTTTTGTCACAACAAAGGTAATGTTTCTCTGGCATTATGGTATATCAATGTAACACTGGGTAAACTTCAGTTCTTTTACTTCATTACGAGTTTCATATACTAGTTTATCCGGAGGAAATGCCTTCAAAAAGTGCAATTTTCTCATTCTAAACAGTATTTGGTTTGTGGTGTTTGCTCTGCTCTAGCTAGCAGGCTGGCAACTCAGCTACTGCTTCGCCCGCAGATTCGAAGGCTTTTTGTTGATATTCTAGGAATTCATGCCCAGTTTTGTCCAACCTTAAAGTCGCTATCTTTTTCTTGGTGCAGTTTCACCCTCAGCAGCATTTTCACCTTTTTGCAGTACAGATGTTGCCTTATTCTCAGTTCGCTTCCAAAAGCTAGTCGCACTCTTTCGGAGCTGGTTCTGGTACTCAATCTCCTTTGTTCAGTCTATAAAGTGCATCATCCTTGTTTTTTGGTGATGCTATGCTTCCGAACTTAACTGATGCCAACATTCAATTGAAGGGAAAGTTTTGTTCCCTGTTTTGTTCCATGATGACTTGGACTTTTTCAGGAATTGCAGGAACTGATTGCTGTTCTTCTGAGCCATTTGGACTGATAGTACAATTGATCCCTCATCTGATCAACGAATTCAACCTAGCCAGACGGAAACAGACGAATGGCACTTTTAACCTTTTCAGCACATCAGCTCCCTCCGACGCCACAAAATTGAGGTAGCTGAGACCAGCATACGGGCTAGTGATTGGTACTGATCGGTATCTGGTAATGCCTGGACTAGCGCAAATAAAGATAACCTTTATGAATTTCATGTAAATGAATGACTTATAAGACATCCAACAGTACGGCTGCCACGACTATTTGTTCGTGCACCATTAGGTGCGACAAAACAGGCATTCACCAGACACGTTAAAAAGAATTTCACACCAGTGTTTTTTCAGTCCCTTCTTGAAGTCAAGCTCTCTTTGGGGAAGCTTACTTGCTGGATACAACATAACACATTAGGAAAAACAGCAATCAGAATAAAAATTCGTTGGATGCATTCAGCCTGTTCACCAAGTGACAAGAGGAGCAACATTTATCGATACACTAGGTTTACTGATTGTTTGGGAGAATTTCCAGTTGGTCAGATGAGACCCCGGATCGCGTATTTTCTCCCACCTCGAGGACAGTTGGGTTTCAGCATTTAATCATAACATCGGTAACCAACTCACGCCTTCCCAGTCTAAATTGATCAGTGGTCTTGCAAGCTTGAACACTGCATCTACTCGTTTGCCCAGGATTGTGGGGAACGCGCGTTGCAGACTCTGACCGGCATTGATAATGATCAGGCCTCGGTTGAACACTAGGCTAAAAGGAAACGCTTCAAAGAACACGCTGGTGGGGAGCAGCCGAGATCCTGTTTCGGACTGATAGGCTTGATTGTCGAAGTGAAGTCGCAGAATTGTCCCGTTTGTCATGCCATGTTCAACTTCACCCACAATCTGTAAAGTTGGAAGAAGACAAATTCAGTTGGTTAGATCACCTGATTTAACGGCGAAGTTTCCTTTGAGATGAGGCCATTTGATTATTCTGATATGCGTGAAAACAAAAATGCCATATCTAACCCACGATTCTGTACTGTTTTTCAAATCAACTTACTGGTCATCATGACTCTACAAGTTCAAAACTCCTGAAATGGCAAGCAACCGTAGGGGAATCGCGATTGAGACAAGTGTTTAATAAAACAGAAGCCATCTTTGTGAAAATCCAAATCTCTCTTTCCTTTTGATGATCTGTCATTGGAGTTTGCCGTGTGCACCTGACAGGAAAGGCTATTTGACTCCAATGTATCCGGCATTCGTCATCTCTGCTTGTGTTTTGTTTTATTCATCATTCTTTCAAGAATACGGAGATAACTCTTTATCCGGTGTAAACAATGGGAAACCCAGATTTATTTGGGTGTGAAAAAATGTCCGTTGAAGAGACTAACATGATCTCCTCTTTTTTTAGTTATTTTTGGATTAAAAAGATGGCGAACTCAAGTGTTTTACATCAAACAACTCAAGATAATAAAAGTTGGGATATGAGAGTACTAAATTTATTTTTTGCCAGTGTGTTGCGTACTTTACGCAAGCCCAGGTAGTATTCGGAAATCGTAGTGATGTGGCTTGGAAACTCATTGCGGTGGCATCTCATGAACTCGAAAACAGCGTCACATTTTAGTCGCCTTACGGATATCTTCTTTTATATCCAGAGATGTAATCGCTGAGTAGAGAATTTGATCCTCTTCTGACCAGATCATGACAGGCAGGACAGAACAAGGCGAGTGAAGAAGGTTTGTTCTTTAACAAAGTCCTCTCAGTTGCGCAAGAATTTGGTTCTGATCGTGGACCACCCACAACGTTATGAGTAGTGTATCAGGTCTAGGCGAAAATGGGTTGTGATATCCCATTTATCGTACCAACTGAAACATGGGACATCTTATGTGCAGCACATCCAGTTGTAGAATATCATAAACGAGAGATTCAGTTGAATCTCTCGTGATAACCAAATTGATTTGCAAATGAGTGCATTTCACGAAAACAGTCTAATGTAGGTTCAAGTAGAACATAAGGATGACGAAAACCCGTGGACTGCACCAACCTGATGACCCTCAAGAAGGGCGAAACCGGTCGTGGTCTGTCGAAGAAATTTCAGCAATCTTATGAATAGTGCATTACGTCTAAACGTGTGTCGCGATATATCGATTATCGTACCAACTGAAAGAATAGGCTGCCTGGTGCAGCACATTCAGTTGCTTAGAGACATCACGAGCGAGAGATTTAGTTGGGTTTAAGGTGAGTCCAGAGTCAAAACCAAACTTGTTTGCATAGTTTGTATAGTTTGTATAGTTCGCTAATTTCGCGCAATTTGAGCTCAGGTAGAACATAAAGTTGACAGAAACCCGAGTACGTCGCCCGACTGATGAGCCCCAAGAGGGGCTATTGAAAGGTTTTCATCAACGTTGCGAGTAGTGTGCCACGGCAAGAAAAAAGATTTGCTCTTGTGTAATTGCTGTAGATTGTTCAGATAAGGCCACTGCTACTAGGCTTTAGTGATATTTATGCACATCGAAGAGATGAAAAATAACCTGAGCCTAAGAACAGACTTACTTAGAAGAGACCACTCAAGATAGAGACCCAGTCAGGCATGGATTAATTCTAAACTTTTGGCTGTAAAGAATGCCTCTGCAGTCAGTCAAATGAAATTTCGAATCGGAAGGTCCTTGGGTAAAATACAATTCGATGACGCGCTTGAACCATTTCTGTGGAATATAACCTGTGTGGAGCGTCACCAAGGACTATCTCATGAAGATATGCCTACTTCAACCAAAAGTTTACCAGGAGAACCCAAGTTTCACCAGCAGATGACAGAAGACTAAAAAAAGTCGGTGTGGAATCCGCAGCTTTTGATAGAGATTTTCTCAACATTTCCCTGCCGCTTCAAGTCAGATGAGATAGGAAGTCGAACATACTTTAAACGTTTGAACTTGTGTTATTGGGACACCATTAGTAATAGTTCGGAAGACAACATGTGAAATGTTCTCAATCCCAACCCACGGATACAGCCTTGAGGCATATAGATAGACTTATTTCTAGCGTCATATATGATGTCCTTTGGCACACCTCTGTTGTGTGCAGTGCAAACGTCTGGTTTAGAACATGCTCTTACCACCGCAATTTGGTCCGAATAACACGTCAAAACGTACTGCTCAGGAACTCTGAAGGAGTAAGCGTGGAGAGTGAGTACAAACGACAACCAAAGAGCTCCATGATGCGAAAAACACACATCTGCCCGTTAACCTGAGCCAACTGCTTTTGTTTGTAATGTGGGGGAACTCTAATCGAAATTTCGTCCTGTAAGTGAAGCCGACCTAAGCTGAAAAACACTGCAAAGGTGTCTGATCCTTATCGGGAATCATCCTCATTAGGCATCTCAGGAAGTTCCAGGAAGTCCGAAGCCCGTTACTTTTAGGCTAGTAGTTTGGAAACTTGACCGTTTGGCCAAGAACAGTTGATCAGCTGGCTTGCAAATGGACAAGATAATGAGATTTCATCAAAATTCCTAAATCTCCTCACACTACTAAAAATCTATAAGTAACTCAGAAGCAGAATAATAGTTCACGAATGTACACTGCAAAATAATTTGGTTTTTCGAGTGATTCACCTGGAACCCAGCCTGAGAACATCACAAACGAGAGATTCAGTTTGGTTCCAGGTGAGTCTCTCGAAAAACCAAATTAGTTTGCAAATGAGCGTATATTCGTGAATTTCGTGCAATTTGGTTTCAAGTAGAACATGAGGTTGACGGAAACCCGGGGACTGCGCCTACCTGATGAGCACCAAAAAGGGCGAAACCGGTCGTGGACTGTCGACGAATTTTCAGCAACCCTATGAGTAATATATTACAGAATAATAGTTATTCGACGACTGAAACTTCCATCTTATTAATCGTCATTGGAGGTGCCAGTCAACAATTGTGACCACAAGATGTTACTCGCGTGACTAAGTGATGAGCGGCGCTACATACTGCTTAAGTGCACCTTAATCACGCCGCTTTTCGGCAGCCCGCGGACTGTTGGAACTGCGAGGTCACGGGTTCGAAATTCTCCGGAATTTCTCGAGAAGTTTTGATTCCCAATATGGATGAAACAGCTACACAGTACTGCTCCATCTCTCAGCATAATTCATTTTGATGTCTGCGTTGAAATAAGGTTTTTATCTTGTGAATAATCAGTAAGACGGTCACAAGAGTTCTTTCCATGTCTGCCGCGGAAATTTTGTGCAGCGACAGTTCTAGATCAAACTGATCGGAAGCATTATCACAGCTCCTAAAGTGGACATAGGAGCACTTTCTGTCGATGTCTTAAGTCTTCAGAACTTTGTGGCAGTACGGATTGCAGAATCTACACTGAGCCTCCATAAAATGTATGATCATTGATGCATATCATTTCATGGACTCCGTATAGGTCTGATATTCGCAATGAAACTCATGTATACGCACGCAAAGGCGTGAAATTTTTCTGTTTGAAAACCCTCAGTTATCAGTCTACCTGTCAATTCTGCATTTGACCAGGCAACAAAACGTTTTCATGGTGCCACTGGGAAAATGTCAAAACGACACAGGTTTGATAATCCTAGCACTACTAACCAAACAGGGTAACTTTGTTCGGCCCGATGACCCCGCCTGAATAGATTTTTATCAGCTCAAGCACATCATAGTGGATTGTGTTGGCTTGCATATATGTGCACAAATATTCCTTGTCTCAACAGCGGGCTCCGTTTTTGTGATAGCTGTGTGCTTGCCCAGAGTGGGCCAAGATCAAATAAAAGACTGCGTCTAGATCTGAGCTACACTTTCGTTTCTTCACTGGACGAATTGATTGCAAGGGTGAACTACGATGTCATCTTTAGCAGAAATCGTTTAAAATAGTTACAGCAAACAGATTTGTCCAAGTATTACTCACCAACTTGGGGTGATAGCTCCGGATGTTTGTTGTAAATTCACTGGCAGTGTCATAGAGGTTCCAAATGAATATCGTTTCGTATTGCGTGAGGATGGTGTCTCAACTACATTTAACAAATAGTCTATATACCACCCAGTTAGAATACGCCCAACTATTTAGATTTCCGATGGTGGACCATTTTGGGAGTAGTTTTCAGGCAAAACTCTGATGTAGAAATAGTCAGGCGCGAGTGAAAACGTGTTGCATCCACATATATACAAGATGCACGTATTTGCGTAGATACGGACTTGTCTGGCTTGGTCCAAGACGGTCAGGTTTACTCCGTTTATCATTACAAGCACCATTAGGAAACGTGCGGCAGCATATATCAAGAACATGTGCAACAACCTTCAGGTAACACGCTGGAAAACTTTCTTAATCCCTCGCTGGAGCGGGTAGGCCTTATTTGGATATTCGCTGCTAAGGGGATATTTTGGTGCCAAGGAACATAAGCCTACTCATAAAATCCCGGCAGTTTGTTAGGGTAAGTGAAGGGCAATCAAGTGGGAAAGGTTTGGAACCGATTGAAAAGTCATCGTTTCAGAAGGGGTTAGTAAACAATCGGTAGTTTTTATTTGGGCAACGTTTCGCTTTTGACACAAAAGCTTCATCAGGCCAAGTGAACAGGTCACCGAATTGGCCAGGTTATAAGACAGACGGGGAACCAATCAGTAAGTCAGTCCTCTTCAGATTATCACATTAGATCAGTGTTAAGTGTCAATTAACGGCTCTTGTCGGCTAGTGTGGTTGTCAAAATCTTGCGTTGGCGGATTGGGGGAGTTTCAATCTAATTATGATCGGGTTTGGTTTCTTAATCTTCCACCTCAGGGTGCCTCACTTGATGATTCACCTGAGGTGACACTGGTAGATTTTCCTTGATCTTCGTGAGCATGTGAATGTTGCGACAATTTAGTTGGGGGGAGGGGAGGTGCATAAGGTCAAGTGGAATCCAGATGA